ACATGGAAAATAGATTTGTGGCATAATGATCATTATCACCAATATTTGACAACATCGAATGCGCTATCTTGGGTTCTCTGACTAGTGTTAGTTAAGTGACATTTCAAATAATTCGGAATATAAAATTAATTAAACGAAATTAAAAGATAATTGAATGTGTGGGTATCGTAATGATTATCGACGTGAGGAGAAGTTGCAGCGTAAATCAAGTACGAGGGCTGTTCAAAAAGATCTAAACCTCCCTCCATTGGGATAGCGAAAGATGCCTTACAAAAGCTGAGCAAAGCATTAAGAAACTGGAAAATCTCGCTAGAAACGAACTGAACTGTTACAGAATATCATTCATCCTACGAGTGTCGTTCAAAAAGTTCTAAAACTCACCCATAAGGAGTTGGAGAAACAAAACAGTTTTTCACTATTTTTCAATATATTCCCTCTTGACATCAATGCACTTGGCCCAACGGTGCTTAAGGATAGTATTGTGGGAACCTACCTACAAAGGGACTCCTCCACACCTATATAATATGACTACCAACTCTGAGTAAAGGGAGTCACCAAGTGAGGGTCACCGAGTAGTAGCCATAGAGTGAGTGAATCAGTGAGTCAGGACACCAATGAGAGAAAGTACTCTCCAGTCCACATTTACCTTTGTACTACGTTTCCGAGAATATACTATTTAACCTTATATCCGAGCCCGTGTTATATTTCTATGGTTCCACACCATAACAGATAGCAATCCCATCACGTAAGAAAGTGGCGTCGTGGTCCTACCAAAACTCCTCCACAGCAGATATGATCTCATCATTCTTTCCAAAATGGCGACCACGCAGGATGGGATTTGAGTTAAGGAAACAGGAAGAACTCAGACTGAGCTAAATCTCGTGAGAAAGTTCGATGGGGTAGCAATTCAAAGCCAAGCACAGTTGGCTGAACAGTGTGAACGGGTGCGTTATTCTGGAGCAAGCGCACACCTGCCCTCAGTTTCCTTCTGCGTTTCAACATTGCTTCCTTCCTTCATCTCTTTTAATCCTGATGCATAATACTGTCCATTAATAGTTTTTCCCCCTTTTCCAGGTAGATTATCAAGATTACGCATTCAGAATTAAAAAAAAAAAAAAAGAAGCCATCACCTTGATGCTGCCTTCTTGAACTTCTTCGGGGGTGGAGAATCAGTGTGTTTCAATTGTTTGTTTTCCATTTTGATTCAGGTTCGAAGTGCTGAGTCCAGGTTTCATCTTGAGTTACTAATCTACGGTGGAAATTCTCAGGGTCATCCTAGAAGCAAATCAAAAGTGTTCTGGAAACTTTTTGGCTTCTGCTCTGGTGTCAGCATTCTTGGGACCCATCATGCAGACAGCTTGCTCATCTCCAAGATCTCAGTTAAAGCGGTATGGACCGAACCAGAATTAATGTAGATCCAAAAACATACGGTAAATGGCATCAACTTGTTCATCCGTAGTTGAAGTTTTCGGGTTTCCCTGTCCCACTTGAATTCCGCAGCCACTTCACAGTTGCATAGAAAGGGGACTCATCAGCAAGTGTCTGTCCCATGTCCTTATGGATTTCCTTTGCTGTCATAACTTTCTTTAGCAGATACTTTATGACTGCTCGGGCCTCTGTTTCGTCAGTTTTAGATTTATCGCACACCTTTGTATGAGTCTCACCTGCACAGAAATTAAAACAATAATCTGAATTAGTTTTTCTAGTTTTATAAGAAGTGGTATTGTATTGTCGCAACAAAAATGTTCAGCTATGGCTCTTCTTTTGGGTGAAGCTTACAACTTTTTTGAGCGACCCACGTACATTTCGTTGGCACCTATATCTAAATCTATGTCATCTATATTAAATAGTAGGATTCTCTAGCCTTGAGTGGCATTCAGTCTAGGGAAAGATATATCTGAATTCGATATCCGTGAAGACAACAGGAAGCCACTTCTCTATCTTTCTCTATCTCTAACGACAATTCGAAGATAATAAAGACAAAAGAATCTGTAGTGAGACATGATCGGCTACATCCTGACACAAAAAATAAAATTGCTTTAGATATTTTTTTTTAATATTAACTAACTTTAGCTTATTTTAGGTTAAGAAGAGACGAAACGTATAACGAAATAATGTCTCACAAAAACATTATTCAGGATCAAAACATTTGACCTTGGTTTATAAAAACGGTTTTCTTTAAGATTTAATAATCTTAATTTAATCTACGTTTTTTTTTTTTTTGTTGTTGTTTTTGTTTGTTTTTTTTTTATTTTTGTCAGCTGTCCTTGTCGCAGATGGAATAAAAAGAGATAAGAGGAAACGAGAGACAAACTGTTGATAATCCCACAGTGAGATAAGGACACAAATAAAAGGTCGGCTACCTGGTTGAGTGCCTGAGAAAATTGTTTATTTCCCTCCTGCATCAATGGTTGGTGTTCGAGTCCAAATAAAAGAGTATTTTGAAAATGGATTGGCGCAATACAATCAAACTTCTAACCTCAGTCTATTCCTGCGCCAGACTAATTTCTTCTTCTGTGTTCTATATCCCTACAGGATGTAGGCGATCATGAATCTCCACAACATCCTATTCTTTGTAAGTCTTAGTAAGGTTTGTCTGTTTACTATCTCTCCTAATCCCTGTTACGCTTATGGACATATCACTTTGAAACGTTGCTTCTCGTACAATCACCGAAGTTAAGCAATGTTGAGACCACTCAGTAGCTAGATGGGTGACCGCTTGGATTTGCGGGTGGTTGGTTAATGGATAACGGTTCAGAATTTCATACGGTTACATTATATTCACTTACGCACAAATCGATATGAATCCACATCTTCTCTCCCCAGCTATGGGTTAATTAGTAAGACTTTTATTAGTAAATGATTATTATCTCCAAAAACATTTTTTTAATCATTTCACCTCACGCAAATTAATAAAGCCACTAAGACACAAGGGTTTACTGAGTATTAGAGAATATGAGAAAAAAACTATTAAGGAGAGCGAACAATAAAAAGAACAAGAAGGCAGAATCTAAATTTACAATCTAAAATTATTTTCTGGCTTTAAATAATCCGCAAAGGGTTGATAAGTCGTAAAAAATAAAACAATCAATCAGAAATCTAATTCCTGTTCTGCCAAAAATTTACACAAGTTCGTTGGGTAGGTTATTAGCTGTTTTATTATGTTCCTCTTGTGAGTATCAAATTTTCCAAACCTTCTTTTCTATTTATGTGCCCTAAAAATTTGAAATGTCCTTTCTTCCCCCAAAACATCATTGTTCAGTCCATGACATTCTAAGTATCCTTCTGTAGGACCACATTTCTGATCCCTCAAGTTAAGTTTGCTAAATATGTATGTGCATATATACTTAATAAATTAATTATGAAAATAATAAAAAGTAACATACAACCATATATCTGTGTGATTGCAAGATGTACAATAGTGTCCGAAAAACAAACACTTTCTGGTTTCTGGCAGTCGCAGCTGATAAAATAATTTAAATGATTGTCCCTCTTATCCTCAGACCGACAGACATTGCCTAAATGCGTCTTTTATAAGCTTTTCCACTTTGTCTCATCATCTCCACAACTATATATATATATATATATATATATATATATATAATTTTTTAAAAAAAGAGAGAAACCGCAAATGTTTTTGGCTTGGAAATTAATTTGACAGTCTCAGAGGCGGTGTGGGGATGGAGGAGTATCTTTCATCAATAAATACATCTATCATCACCACCACTCAGATCAAATCTAATGATTTTATTACCACTTAGGCAGAAATTCACTTTTGCCAACAGTACAAAATTGAGATCAAGGCTCACTACAAATACAGAAAATGAACAATGAAGCATTAAAAGAACATAAGGAAAATGTATTCCTTTAAAAATTGATTCCTTTAATTTGCCTGAAGAGGGTCACGAGACCAGAAACACGTGTAGCAGAAATATGAAGAATGAAATATAATATATACACTAAAAAGAATCCATATTATAAACAAAAACATTTGCGGTTTCTCTCTTTTTTTAAATATATATTTTTCTCTCGGAACAATTATAACTTATTTCCCTATACACACACACACACACACGCCCCCCCCCCCATATATATATACATATATATATACATACATATATATACATACATATATATATATATATATATATATATATATATATATATATATATATATATACATATATATATATATATATATATATATATATATATATATATATATATATATATATATATATATATATATATAAATATAAAAAAAAGCTCAAGCACTAATACTAATATTCCATGGTTATAATTTATTACATTGGAATCGTAATCACGATGCAATTCATCAGAACTAAAAATTGAAATATTTGTGTTTGAGCCTTTTATATTATATTCTTACTCTGTCCTGGACATTGAGTTCTACCTGGATTCTATCCTCTTGAAATTTATGTATATATATATATATATATATATATATATATATATATATATATATATATATATATATATATATTGAACAATTAAAAAATTAAAATCTTTAGACACGCTGGGTTGTAGATTAATATTCTTTCTTTTTTTTTTATTATTCTATTTAGATTCCTCAACTAGTTTCGACCCAAATGGCCATCATCGGGAGGAGAAATATTTCTGCTTGCTGTTAGCACTAAACTACAGAAAATATATATATATATATATATATATATATATATATATATATATATATATATATATATATATATAAAAAAAAACAAATCAATCAATCAATTTAAATTTTATGAGTAATGAAGCCAAAAAATATTTTTAGATTGTCAGAATTTTTGGAGATAATATTGATTTACTGTTACAAATCCTACTAATCAATCCATAGCTGGAAGGAGGAGAGGTGGATTCATACCTTTCCAAATGGTATTTCCGCGTGAGTGAATATAACGAACACAGCAGGAATTGGAACACAGCTCTCCGATTTTAAATTCCGAGTCGTCATCCACTATACCACCTGAACATTCAAGCTTACAGCACCTAGTATTCCCAAGCGGTCACCTATCTCGTTACTCGATGTTGCTTAACTTCGGTGATCATACGGAATCGGCGTTTCAACGTGATATGGCCATATTCCTAACAGTGATTATGAGAGATAGTAAAAAGACAGATCTTATTAAGAGCTATAAAGAACAGGAGGTTGTGGAGAGTCATGATCGTCCACGTCCTATACGGTCGTGGGCGATCAGCGCATAGAAGAAGAATAACTTGTTTGATTGTATTGTGCCAATAACTTTTCCAAATACTCTTTTGCCTGGGTCCGAACACTAATCATTAGTGTCAGATGAATATAGGCAAATCTCTCAGACAGTTTCATTGTTTTGCGCCAATCCGTAATATGGTGTTTAAACGTGATATGGCCGCAAGCCACTAAGATTAAAGAGTCAGACGTTTTAAGTTAATCGCTTGTGGGGCTTTACAATATTATCTGCGCATTAATTTTCAAATTATAGACAAAGACTTAATTAAATTTGTCTGTAGCACAATTTTGACTGTCGTCATATATTTGTACATATAGCTGTATTTGACATTAAAAATGTTAAGTTAAAAGGTGTGAACTTGTCCTTGCTACGATAAGCTAGTGCAGTCCAAACAAATTTTTATATCTGCATTTTGAAAGGTTAAAAAGGTTAAGAGAGATAATTACTTGCAAAGAAAAAAAAAACACTCCGGGGTTCTGTAATCTCAAATAGCATTTGTGTTCTTTCTCAGATGTTTGCTGGAAAATGGAAAGTATAAAATCAATCTTCTTTTTTATTCTCTATTCATTACCTGCAAGTGTCATGGCGTCGCCTCTTTTCGTTCTTTTCACCTGCTTGGTCTTCTGCCAGATCAGCTCTGCCCACAGGATTGAAATTCTGACAACCAGCCGACCAGATGGCGGAGTTGTTTCAGGTCAGTGCGCATTTAATGTAGTTTTATTTTTTGAAAAACGGCTAAAAACAGAAGCAACTTTCCATCAACCTCGTCTTCATAAAAATGCGAGAATTCGAATCTCGAACTCATGGTTACGGTCAATTTTGTTTCGTTTTTTTTAGTAAGAGAGGAGGAAATTTACCAGAATAACTTGATATTTCCAGAGCAGATCAAAGGCGAATCAAAGGTAATACAGCAAACGTGCGGTAAAAAAAAAAAAAATTAGTGGGATTGAGCAATTTTACCACACCCTACATATCTAACATCTTGTCCTCATGGAGAGATGAAGAAAGACAATCGAGGTGCGAAAAGACAGATAGAATAACCTTAGAGTTATTTAACGGATCCTAAAGAAACTTGATTGACAGTTATATCACTGGTATAGAGAGTCATATGAAAATAAGTAAAATTGATAATTATCAAAATCTGAAGATTTATGACGAAATCAACTAATCCGATGCCCGCTACGAAAAGCAAATTTCAAAGTATTCTAACTGGACTTGAACACTGAGTTCCGGTGGTAAATTTCTCCGCTATACAGCACATCGACTGCGCAACGGATAAGACTGGACATATAAGTCCATTATCAATTTATCACGACAAAGTTTTGATTTATATGTAAAGGTTCCAACTAATCAGTGATGAATTTATAAATTTAACATAAATCATAATTCTATAACTTGTAAAGTACGTTAGTAATCGCCATTTAACTTAGTTTGCCTCAATACCTCAAGTATATGTTAACCAGTGAGAACCAAACTAACTGACCAACAGTAATGGTCCAATAGATAAACTCACTAACCATTTTGAAACAATTTTTAGAATTCGAGAATTCGCTCGTTTTTTTGGTAATTTATGAGTGTGGCTTCGGGTCAAACATGATTTTACCGAGCGCATTATCTCGTTATATCTCGATCCCTTAATATTGTTTCGTTGCTTTGTTTTGGTTTGGTTTTTACTGTTTTTTATTTATTTATTTATTTTTGTAGTTTTTGTTGTTTTTGTTTTGGGGTTTGTTTGTTTTTTTTTTGGAAAAAAAATTATTGTTTCTACTCTTCATTTTCAGTGAGAAGGTTCATGGGAAAAAACAAATTCACAATGATAAGTAAAACTACTTTGTAGATCTCATCTCGACTTACGGTAGTTATTCCTGTATAATACGCACCCTTAACTTTGGGTTACGAAAATCTGAATAAAAATCTTCCCGTTTACAAGACGCGTTGAGTTTTAGAATTTGTAACAGCGAAATGCAACTGTTGTTCAACCTTTTGTTTAGTTTGTATTGATTCAAAATAAGAATCTGTATAGTTTACATTATGTTTTGAAACACAAAATTTACACGGTATTTAAAGCAAATACACAAGAATGCAACAGAGCTGACCAAAGCTTTTCTTTAACGTTTGATATTGCAATCCTGACAGAACGGCCTTGAAACCATCGTTGCTCAAGTATTTTTTAAATATTCATCCCGAACGCACTGAACCGTAATAAAGATGACATCCTTTTTGAGCAAAAAAAAAAAGAAAAAGAAAAAAAGACAATATTTTGCATTCCCTGGACGACAACGACGGCATAGAAAATGATGACAAAATCTACGACACTGCCATGACTACCTTTGACATTAAAATCAATGAACTAAACTAAAATGTGTTTAATA